GAACCGGATCCAAAGGGAACCGGGAGCAGGGCTGGATCCAAAGGGAACTGGATCCAAAGGGAACTGGGAGCAGGGCTGGATCCAAAGGGAACTGGGAGCGGGGCTGGATCCAAAGGGAACTGGGAGTGGGGCTGGATCCAATGGGAACCGGATCCAAAGGGAACCGGGAGCAGGGCTGGATCCAAAGGGAACTGGATCCAAAGGGAACTGGGAGCGGGGCTGGATCCAATGGGAACCGGATCCAAAGGGAACCAGGAGCAGGGCTGGATCCAAAGGGAACTGGATCCAAAGGGAACTGGGAGCGGGGCCGGATCCAATGGGAACCGGATCCAACTAGGGAAAACTCTGGGCTCTGTTCAGCCGCCCGGCTCCATTCGAGGTCCTCCATTCCTTGGAGGACTACAGCGAGCCCAAGGGCACGAGCGGCCTCCTGTGCCCAGCCGGCTGTAACCCCGTAACGGGGCGGCGGTAACCGCATCCCCGGCGCCGGTACCGTTGTCACCCAGGGCGCCTGTAACGGTGTCACCCAGGGCGCCGGTAATCAGGTGCCTGTAACCGGATCGCCCTGGCAACGGCCGCCTGTAACCGGAGGCCGGGAGCCCCCGGCGCATGCGCGGCACGGAGCTGCGCCACACCTCCCGGCATGCACCGCAGGCCGCCACCCGCGAGCCAGGCCACACCTCCCAGCATGCCCCGCGAGCTGTGCCCCCGCGGGCGAGGCCACACCTCCCAGCATGCCCCGCGGGGGTGTGACCAGGAGCTATGCCACTCCTCCCAGCGTGCCCCGCGGCGTCCATGGCAGGGTCGGACTACACTTCCCGGCATGCCCCGCGGCTGCTTACGTGTCCCGGCGTCCCGCCGGCAGTGACGTCAGGACGGGTGTGATTTTTTCCGCGCGAAAACAGCCGCCGCGCGCGCCATGCAGCGGAGCATCACGTGAGTGCGGGACCGGGACCGGGACCGACCGGAACCGGAACCGGGACCAGAACCGGGGACCGGAACCGGGAACCGGAACCGAGACCGGAACCAGAACCGGGACCGGGACCCACCGGAACCGGCACCCGGAACGGGACCGGGACGAACCGGGACCGGAACCAGAACCGGGGGCCGGAACCGGGACCAGAACCGGGACCCACCGGAACCGGCACCGGCACCCGGGACCTTTCTATCCCCGGCGCCGCAGCCCGGCCCGGTACCGGACCTGGCCCGGTACCGATTGCCCCCTGCTGCTGCCCAGCCTGGGGCCTCCCCGCTGCTGCCTCTCCCCGGTCCCGGCGTCCCGGGGTTCCGCTCTCCCCGGTCCCGGTCCCGGCGTCCCGGGGTTCCGCTCTCCCCGGTCCCGGAGTCCCGGGGTTCCGCTCTCCCCGGTCCCGGTCCCGGCGGTTCCCAGGGTTCGGGTCTCCCCGGTCCCGGTCCCGGCGGTTCCCAGGGTTCGGGTCTCCCCGGTCCCGGTCCCGGCGGTTCCCAGGGTTCCGCTCTCCCCGGTCCCGGCGGTTCCCGGGGTTCCGCTCTCCCCGGTCCCGGCGGTTCCCGGGGTTCCGCTCTCCCCGGTCCCGGTCCCGGCGGTTCCCGGGGTTCCGCTCTCCCCGGTCCCGGTCCCGGCGGTTCCCGGGGTTCCGCTCTCCCCGGTCCCGGGGTTCCGCTCTCCCCGGTCCCGGCGGTTCCCAGGGTTCCGGTCTCCCCGGTCCCGGCGGTTCCCGGGGTTCCGCTCTCCCCGGTCCCGGTCCCGGCGGTTCCCGGGGTTCCGCTCTCCCCGGTCCCG